AAACAGATTTATAATGATGCTCTTTATCTGCAACTGACCTTCTCCTTGTGTAACTTTTTGGCTGGATCTGTGACTCAGCCTGTTGGACACCATAGCCTAATGTCAACAAATGCTGGAGGGATCAACACTTACACCTAAGCCACTACATTACAAACCAAAGAAAGTTGGCTGTTGGACATAAAATTGCTCCAGCCAAAAATCTGTAGTGCTTCTCTACATGTACAAAGTATCCCCCAAGACAGAAAGACAGAGGAGCTAATGAAGCAAAATATTAACCCAGGTCTTAGACTGTCAAGAGAGCCTGAACATAGCAAGACTTCCTCCTGCTCCCCCCACCCAAGGTTGTCACAGCTGTTAAACACTGCTGTGTGGTACTCCTGCCAAACAGGTGTCTCTGCCTCCCTGAGGACTGGGAACAAATAGCTATTTGAGTTCAATTAGTGCAGTGGAAACTCTTTCCATTACAAGCAGAAGTGATATCTATCCAAGCAACTGATTCTGGGATCCCAAAGCCTGCATGTTTTCATAACCCATACTGACACAGCCTTAGCCTTTCCACTGAATCAGTCAGGTCAATGATTTCTTTGTTCCTCAGCTCATGAAACATGAGTTGGCAAACGCTACCTTCACAAAGGGCAGGTACCCCTTTAAACACCCTGGTTTAGAGGCTTGAACCCAGGTCTGCTCAGAACTTGAAGTTCAAGAGATTATTAGTGCAAGAGAACCACTGCAAGAAGCTTACATTCTTTCCCAATGCACAATTTAAATGCTGCCAACACTTCTTTCTTTGCAGTCCAGTACTTCCTACATTGATCATTCTGCAGAACAGTTTGGTACTGAACAGAAGAATTGCATCATATTGTAACAATTTGCCCATCCTAAGCTGAGGCTGCTGGAGATTGATGAATTAGCTGCACACTGTGACAGACTTTTAAATTACCTGGTGTTTTAAGTTGATCATGCACAATCAGAATATTTACAACTTTCCAATACATTCCACACATATGAGAAGACCAGGAAAGACAGCCTGAGCTATACTTCAGACTAAGCCTCATGCCAAGTGATCCTTTAATGTTTAGGAACCAAGTCTGCGTGTTAAGACAAATCAGCATCTCACTATGTGACAGTCCTGACACTTTCTAGAGACACCAGTATACCTCTCAACCACAAGGTGCATGACAGGCACTATCCATCCTTGGAAAAAACCTCACTGAAGCCTTTCAGGGACTGACATGCAGGTGCCTGTAGGGGATGGATCTGATGGTCCATCTACAGAGACCAAATTAGTAGGATTCAGTAGTAAGAACAGACTCTTGAACACTTGATTAAACTACAGTTCCAGTCATGCTATCAGCATTTAGGCTGTGCTGACTAGCAATAAGATTTGCTTATTTAAAGAAGTTGTCTACATCACAGATACTCAGTGTTTTCTGTAACAATTGACAGTAGTTTACCCAGGTGTTAAACTTGACCCTGTTCTAGCACTAGTACAGTCAGCTTTGTCTTGCAGCTCAGATATCTAGCTTAATGAATAATTTATATGTATGGTTTTGCTCCTGTGTGACCCAACAAGCTTTGTTACTCCATTCAAAAATTCAGAGTGGTGGTCCAAGCAATGCTTCATTTAAGAGGCATTGTACTCAGATTCCCAGAATTATTCTGGGACCTTCTTCTAGACAAACTTTTGCAGTCTTCCCCCCCATTAAAACTAACATTCAACTCAATACTTAAAAGCTTCTTTATTTTACTCTCAGACTTAGGCTTCAAGGACAACTTAAAAGTCAGTTACATAACAATGACTGATACTGCAAAAAAGTGGAGGTGCAGTTCCAAAAAATCCATTGTGTCTTCAAATATAAAAATATATATCCAAATTATTATCCAAGAAAAGCATATCACCATTTTTGCCATAAGCTGGTCCTGCCAGCTTTTGGGTCATAGCTCCCGACCACAGAGCTCAAAAGCTCATACTGAAAGGAGCATCTCCAAGGCTCATTGTCACAAGCATGATTCATAGCAAACTGCTTCACTGCAGCACATGGACCCAACCTTAAGTTTTTTGAAGGCATTCTGTTTTGAAGGTTTTCCCTTGAGCAGTGGGTAAAAAGCATCCAAACATCTCCTGGGAAGCATATGTCATATACACAAAACCATCTTCGTCTTTGTAGTCCCTGTACACTTCGGCCATTGTCAAGGACATGCTGGCAAGGCTTTTGTTGTTCACCAGCAGGTAGAAAGCTTGTGTAGCTGTTAGAGCCATCCTGCTTCTAATTGAAGAAGGGAGAAATAGAAGATTAAGCATTAGCAAATTTATTAAGGCTTCAACTTTAGCCTACGAAATAGATTAGGCATAGCAGTTGCATGAACTGTATGTACAAGAAATGCTGTGTGAAGTCATTATGTGGTTCTTAACATCTTCAGCAGCAGGAAGTTAGCTGTATGTTTGGCTGAAAGGCTTACGCTCTCAGGAAAGGTTTGCACTGTTAGACCATGACAGCTATTGAGCCTGGGCTTTGAGTTCCCAGTTACCAGGGAGAAATGCTGAGTGGAAACCAAAAGCTTATGCAGTGCAGCTGTAGTAAAGGATTCCAGCATGGTCTGTTACACTTATTATGAATTCTACCTTCAAAAGAAAAGTCCTTTCCAGGGACATTACATACAGTGATCAGAGCCCAAGTTGTCCAAGAGCCAAAAGCATCTTTTACAGATACTATCATCTAGAAACATCTTTTCCATGCTTCAAAATGAGTGCTGTAAAGCACATAGCTTTCACATTTTGTCAGAGAACATCACTAAATACTTCAGGAAACTTCTTCCCTGTAGTGTTTGATAAAGAAAAATTTAGAAGCACATTTCACCCCACTCACACATGCAAGTTGCTTTAAACTTGAGCAAATTCAGTAAGGCACAGTAGAAGACTAAGGCGGTGACAGCCCTCAGCAGAACAGGATCACAGAACCCCAGTTCATCAAGCAGAAAGCAAACAACAGGAGTCCAATGCAATCTTTATGAATCCAAAAAGCATAGTCTGCAAATTCCGCCCGCCCCCACAAATGCGTCCAAAAAAACCCACCTCCCGATCATCTTCAAACCCTCGCAAGGGGTGGGAGCCGTCACTAACACCTGTACCGGCCTCCCCAGCAGAGCAAAGCGGGATGTCCCGGCAGGGCGCCAGAGCACACTGGCTTGGAGCAGAGCAGCGAGCCGGGGCTGCAGCGCAGACCCGCCGGGGCCGCCCACCCACCTGATAATGGTGATGAACTGTGTCATAGTCAGCTCCTCGGGAACAAGAAACTTGGTTTTGTCCAAGAGGGGAAGGTACTTCTCTTTGTGGTACCTCTCCACAATTACCTGTTGAATTAGAGGCATGCTTAGGAGGACCCGGAACGCCCAGGTCCCTGCCCCCCTCCCCATTTAGAGAGGGGTACCCACGGTTTCTTTTTATTTAAACGGCAGCAATAACCTCCGACAGAAAAACAGGGGTTTACCGGGATTTTTGTCGGGAACTTCGCGCGG